TGGGTTTTGCCTGTTTTTCACTTTGGTCCTTTGCACAGGAATGAAATGGAGAATTAACAATTACACGTTTAACCAGGTTAACGTGGAAACCATTTGTTAGAACCCAAAGCACATATCATTTTTTCCCACATGCTTAGTACTCCAATTTTCTCTATTTTCTGTTTCACAGATGCCCACACAGATTAGCTTTCACAGTGGAGCCCTCACAGCCCCATGTTTGCTATTCAGCAAAGCATTTTCAAGCATTAGATGTGCTGAGATGGGGACTTAATCTTCTCAGGCTCAATTAAAATGTCAAATTCAATTAGGATGGTTACTCACAGCATGCATATGACACAGCAGAAATCAATGTTTTGCTTGCAAGTTCAGTGACATTTCCAAGACGTTGAAAGTGAATTACACTTAAAAATTTACACCCATCTCAGGATAGAGGATCATCTGTTTCATTAACACAGCTCTAAATGAATTGAGGACAAGAAAAGGTAGAACTCCTGAGTTTAAGCTCAGGAATTAAACTAGGGAGTTTAAATTTAAACTCAGAAGTTACAGACTTTAAATTTACATAGGAACTTCTCTGATAGAAATCCCCACTTCTGGTACTTCCGCATTTCTCTCTCTCCTCTCTCTCTCTTTCTCCTCTCTATCCTCTCTCTCCTCTTTCTCTCTCTCCCTTACCCCACTTCCTTTTCTTTCTCACCTCTATCTCTTCTACCTAATACACTAATACCCATGGCCTGTGTAATTCAGCACAATTTTAAAGATCCAGCTTCGGGACATGAAACAAATTACCTGAGTTAATTCAGAGAAAGGTGACTTTCATGTCTCACAGAACACAGATTTTGAGTCGGATGGACCAGGGATTCAAAACCTGGCTCTGCAATATTACAGGATGCAGGTGAGTTACTAATTTCACTCAGCCTCAGTTTTATCACCAGTAAAATGGGGATATTAATTCTTCTTTGTGGGATTGAAAGATTGGAGAAAACATATGAAAAATTCTAGGACTATACTGGCCAAGAAGAGATGTTCAATGAATATTTGTTCCATTCCTTTTCTTCCTTCCTTGCCCTGATGTGATCTGTTTTGTTGCAAAGCTTCAGTGAAGCTAGGTAACTGCTTCCACACCGAATGCTTTCCCCTGAATGGGAACTGACTATGTCCCCACTCTTTCCTCCTTAAAAATAGATTTTTGTCTTTCAGGAGTACTAAAGAGACAAGAAGTTCTGTGGAATTGCAAAGATTGTGTAAAAACTGAAGCAACCTTAAAATAAGACTATGACTATTACATTTCTTTTCGAAACTTCCATGTAAACAATTTGATTTTGTATTTTATTTATTGGTTGTTTTCTTAATTGAAACCAGAGGTTACTCTGTGAATGATGAGAAATGTCAGTGAACAGAGGCACAGCTAATGAAGAGAATTCCCTCTGGCTCTGGAGCAAAATACCATGGACGCTTAATTCATGTCCCCAAGCTGGATCTGCAAAATGTGCTGGATTATGCATCTAGACCCAGAGCCATGGGTATTGGTGTATTAGGTAGAAAACATAGAGATGAGAGAGAGAGAGAAGAACATGGGGTGGGGGGGGGAGAGAGAGAGAGAGGGAGAGAGAGAGAGAGAGAGAGGAGAAGAGGGAGAAGGGAGAAAGAGAGAGGGCGGAGATAGAAACGTGGAAGTACCAGAAGTAGGGGATTTCTATCAGAAGTTCCCGTGTAAGCATCAGCATTCTCTGTAACTCCTGTTATCTCCACTTTCCCTGATGACTAGGGTATGTCTGACTTTCCCCATATTGGGCTGTGAGTCTAGCGTGGGTCTGGAGACTTGGGCCATCTCTAAAAGACTGGTGCCATTTCAGAGCTAGTCAAGGATTTGAATGTGCTGTGCTGGTTGACTGGCGATTTGGTGTATTAGGGGATTGCAAGTTTGTCTCTCCGGACACCAGAAACCTTCTTGGTTCTGGATTCCACCCTCTCCCCACCGCCCTGTCCCTGGTGACATGGAGGAATCCATACTCCCTGCTTTCCTCATGGTTATTCCTCATGTTTTGGATCTGTGCAGGGCTGCTTTCTACCACCTCAGCCCCCCGAAGGACTATGGAAACTTCAAAACCGGACGAGAACAACCAAAGACCAGATCATTTTGTAAGAGACAATACACATTGTAATCAAGCCAGATAAAGGCACAAATTACTAGAAACGTAATTCCTTACCATTTCTCTTTGTGAGAGAAACAACTTATTATTTCTTTCCTGTGTATTCATGGCATATTTTTCTAACCCACACTCGTATGCACCAAGAGAAAGAACACAAGAGATCCAGTGAGCTTTTCTGAATGCCCAATGTGTGAAGTCATGCCACCAGATAGCTTCACAAATATTAATAATCCTTAAAGAAAACTGAGCATTAAGGAAGTCATTGCCTTCAGTACCTCAAAATATTCACAAAAGTTTTAAATTAGCATTCAAAGTTAGACAGAGAGAGAATTGTTTTAAATGACCATTTGTGCTAAGACTATCAGGTTCTTTAAGAAAGCCCAAGTGAATTTTTACTAGAGGTAAAATTTACTCTTTGGCTGAGGACGCCAGAGAATAATACAACACAGGGCGATTTGGGATGGGCTTATTGCACAGATAAATGTTGCTGATGTTTCAGGGGCAATATGAGACTCATCTCTGGGTATGCCAGTGTAGACTCAAATACAGGATCCTGGGCAGCAGTAACATAAACTAGAAATAGGGACTCTCAAAATGTGGAACTGGAGAAAATTTCTACCATGTGATTCTTCCTAAAGAACGTTGAGAATATCACCTGAACTTCGGGAGGTCGAGGCTGCAATGAGCTGTGTTCATGCCCATGCTCTTCAGCTTGGGAGACAGAGTAAGACCTGTCTCAAAAAGATAATAATAGGACATGCGTGGTGGCTCACACCTTTAATCCCAGAACTTTGGGAGGCCAAGGCAGGTGGATTGCTTAAGCCCAGGAGTTTGAGACCAGCCTTGGCAACATGGAGAAACCCTGTCTCTACTAAAAACAGTAAAGTTAACTGGTGTGGTGGTGCGTGCCTATAGTCCCAGCTACTTGTGAGGCTGAGGCAGGAGGATCACCTGAGCCTCCTGAGTAGCTGGGACTACAGGCAGGCACCACCATGCCTTACGAACTGCACTCCAAAGTGTAATTCGGACGCATTGTGGCTATTGATTCACTTTGTATCAGTATGTTATTTTAGTCAAATCATTGAACACTTTCGCATTCTTCTTAGGAACAAAAGTTGAAAGTTTCTATCACCAGGCCTGACACAAAAAAGTCACTCAACAGTTGTTGGTTCTCTTTTTCTATCTGCGCAATTTTGACTCCCCAGGGCTTCTCTTTTCCTGCTAGCTGACATTTGTCCTATACTGTGTGCTCCCAAATGAGTTCAGACCCACGTCTTTCCCTCAGAATGACTCTGTTGTGCTGAGCGTCTACTGAAAACAGAACCTTGATGTTCAGAGCCTACTTCCCTAGGGACAAATTCATGTTCTCTAAAACAAGGAAGGACCAAATTCCAGTCAAGGCCTGAAAATCGCTCGCCTGTTTCTGTTCAGTTACAGCATGGTTCGTACTCATGTTTCGCATCTGTGAAGCACGGATGGAGAAAGAACTGTTCTCTTGGAATTTCACACATCTCACAAAACAGTAAGATGCTCTCGTTACTAAAGCTTGTGCTATTTTTGCTTTGAGAAGGAATATAGTCTTATAAATTAAAAACAGTCAAAGCCAATAGCAAGATTCACGATGCCAGCTGGCGACTAGACCTCTGCCCCCGCCTCCCCTGGTCAACAGGCCGACGTGATCCTCTTGATCTCCTGTGGTGACCATCCCTGCAGTGAGGAATGCCAGGCTAACCCTGACTCCAGTGGCTCTTGGTCTTCATGTGAAGGTGTGACCGTGAGCCCTCTGGGTGAGAGCACTCCACCTTTGCCCACTCTGAAGAACTGCCCAGAGCTTATCAGACCCACACCTCAAGTTCCCATAGGTCTAGAGTTTAATTACGGATTATGTTTGTGAAATATGCTGGCTGGGAAGTCCTCCAAAAGGGAAGAAAGTGTCTCAGATCAACATAAAGCACTTCCCCTAATGGTGGCCGAAATTCAGACCTTTATATTTGGGAGGCCCACTGATCAGATGTCCTAGCTGGGCCTGCTTGAATTATTCTACAACCTGCCTCTTAATATGTTATTTGGTGTTTTCCACGTTTGCTTTTAGTTATCTCACATGTAAAATGCCATTATTATTATTAACAACAACAGCAACAAGCTTTTTGCCTATCCGACTACAAAAATTTAATGCACAGTTTTTGTCAGTGGTGGGAATTCTATCACTGTATGACTCATGAGTACACAACAGTGTGCTATACCATACTTCCTCTTTGAGGACTAAATTCCCTGCACTCTAAGGGAGGATTTTATTATGCATTTCTCTTCTATCACCAGAAAATTCTTTAGGGGGAGACAGTTTAATATGTGACAGCTTTGAACCATTTTTTTTTTCTCTTTCAACCAGCCTTTTACATTGTCTGCTTGAAAACAGGAAACCACACATCTCCACCCCAGCACAACACACCATCTATCAGCGCAGTCCGTATCAGTTTGGATCTACAGTCTTTTTCTTCTGAGCCTGGCCAGGTGCCTGCTCCTACCATGCAGGAAAACCCTCCAGGCACTCCCGGTGCGGTGCATGTTCTCAGAGCGATTCTCCAGAACATTCAGGATTGCACCTCCTGGGCTGCAGGCACCCTCTACCCTCCCTCCTTAAGCCTCCTCCCCTGAGCCACTGCCACCCTTCCCTGCTCTAACTTCCCCTTCTCTGCAGCCTCCTTAGCAATTTTCTATCATAAAGGAAAACTGCCCCTCTACAAAAACACATAAACAAACTGTAGAGGGTGGCAGCCCCATTGAGAGGTTTCCGACTTAGCTCTGTGCCCACCTGAAGCCTTCCCAGCCCGAGGTATTTGAACTTACATTCAGTGCTTTGGCGTCTCTGTCCGGGGTGCCTCTGTCTCTTAACTCTGACTTCTGAGTACTGGCAGTTAGAACAGGAAGGAAGTTAGTGAGAAAAAAAAAATTGTTTTAAACCTACTTGAAGAGGAAACCCTGGGCTGTCTCAAATCCTGTTCCTTTGCACAGCCTATCTCTTGATCAGCCAACTTTAGCAGCATTCTTGTCAATTAATGGCACATGTGCGAGCATGACAGCCTGTGTGACGTGGAGATGCATGAATGTGCACGCAAGAGTATAGAGCCTATAGCTATGGGCATTATGAATAATTGTGAGGGTATGTCTGATAATCAGGTCATTTTAGTGCATAAGAGGTTATGGAGGCAAGGAGCCTGAAACCAGTAGCGGTACATTCACATTGGCTCTGCTTTGTACCATTCAATTCTGTTCCCACTGGGTCCCCGCCAGGTTCATTATCAGCCAGATATGTTGAAAGTTTGCTGGCAGTGAATGTAGAGCGCTAAGAAACTATGATTGTTAACTGCATATACTTGGTCCTAAATTTAAAAATGTGTCCCTAAACAGATTTTTGGAGTTTTGTTGGTTATAATTTCAAGATGTAGCTTCGTATTGCACTCCAAACAATCAAATGTTGTTTGTAATAGTTTTTGTTGGTTTTTCTTCAAATGAAACAAGCAAGCAAAAGTACTGTCTTTGGTTAAACCTAGGAATGAAATTGCAAAAGGAAGTAAAACTTCATTAATTCATAGTCTTCTAACTCAGAATTTGTGACAATTTAACAAGCACTAAAATAGACTTTGTACCATATTTGAGGAAATGGTTTATGAAGTAATTTAAATGGGAACAAGTTTCGGAGGCCATGTTTAAACCATCTGAGGAACAGTTTTTAAGCAGCCAAGTCACATTTATGCCGTATATTCCTGTCGTTGTTACCAATAATAAATGCTTATTTAGGTGAATATTTCAATATTCAGTATTTACACTGCATTGATATATTTAGAACTGACTAATCAAGCACATGTATTTGGAGAAACTGACATTTATTTTATTTTCACTTAGATGTACTGTATCTTCTTTATTTCCCGTTGTAAACTGATACAGGGTCTGTCTTCTCCTTAGACTCAATGAAATCAAAATAATCAAGGGAGGGGTAGTCATTTTGTGTAAGAAAACAGATTAGGCTAGAAGAATATGAAAAGGAATAGTATATAATTAAAATGAGCAAAAATGCTAAAAGCCTAATAGCTCTTTATTCTGTAATTAAAAAAATAGACAGAATATAGCCCTTGAAACAACATATATAACTTATTATAAAAAAAGCAAACACTAACTTACATAGAAGGCAGTAGGTTTTATAGCTCTGCACCCTCAGGAGGGGACACAGTTATTCATTCCACAACATTTACCCAGTGCCTCTTTTCTTCCAGGTACCGTTCTAGTTCCCTTGTGCAGCAGCAGACTGCAGACGACATCTCTGCCGCCCTGCAGAACTTATGTTCTACCGAGGAGACGATGAAAATAACATAGGTACAGTACAAGAAATATGTAAAAATCAAAAACGGTAAATTCATGGTCTATATCCCACCACTCATTTCTCATGCTATTAGGGAACACCTCACTAAGCAAACCTCACTTTCCCCCCCACCCCAAGCCCAAGGTTATTGGAAGGTAGGGAAGCATCCCGCTTCAGAAAAATTTGTAAAATCAATACATATTTTACAGATTTGCCTTATAGATCAGTGTATTTATTGGGGGATGAGAGAGCATTTATAATTCTAGAAAGTTCTAAAAGGAGTCCAGTTATCAAAAGTATTTGATAATTCCTGGTCATATGCAATGACCCATGGAAAGGTACAGAAATGAACAAGACAAAGTCCTAGACCTCAAGTAGCTGAAAGATGTAATGGGGAAGACAGAAATAAACAAATTTAATTTTTTGTGTGAGCATAGGAAAAGAAAACATCACATGGGTACTTTGAGAGTACACGTAAGGACATCAAGGAAGACTTCTTGGAGGAAGTAACCACTGTGCTCAGTTAAGAAGGAGAGTAGGTGTTGAGTAGTTGATGTGGGAAGGGTTGGGAGTAGAAAAGAAGACATTTGAGGTAGAGGAGAAGCATGAGCAGCAACATGGTCATGGCCTCCCAAAATGATGTGGGATATGCAGGGAATTATAAGGAAGCAGCTCAAGATCGTTGTAAAGTGGAAGTTACATGTGAATAAGAAATGTACCTGGAGCAGTGCAGGCACAGGGTTCAGATCACCATGGGTCTCTTAAGCCATGTTAATAAGGACCTCAACCTTAATCCTGTTAGTGATGGAGAGTCGTTGAAAGTAAAGGATGGAAATGATCGGTTTTGCGTTTCACCTAGTTTACCCTGGCAAAGTGATGTGGTTGGATTTGATGTGAATAAAATCGATTAGGAGACTAGGCTTGAACTAGAATTATTCATAATGAGATAGAAATGGTCAGATTTGAGAATTATGTAGGTGAAATTGGCATGCCCTGGTAACTGGTGGGATGTGAAGGATGAAGGATGAGGATGAAGGATGAGGATGAGGAGGAATCATGAATGACTTCTGGATTTTTTGCTGGAATGACTGGGTCCTTGGGGATACCACCAACTAAGAGAATACAAAAGAAGAAACAGATGTATAGGGGAAATAAGGACATGCATTTGGATGTGTCTAGTCCTGAGTTTGAAAAACAATGGTGTCATTTGCTGGATATGATTTCTGAAAGATAGTGAGATATATAAGCCTGAATTTACATATCATCAGACTATGGATAGTAATTTAAACCAGGTCACCCAAAGAGTGGCCTGTGTACCAGCACACCACCATTACCCAGGAACTCATTAGAAATGCAAGGTCTCAGGCTGGGTGCAGTGACTCATGCCTGTAATCCCAGCACTTTAGACAGAGGTGGGCGGATCGTGAGGTCAGGAGTTCAAGACCAGCCTGGCCAACATAGTGAAACCCCATCTCCACTAAAAAATGCAAAAAATTAGCCAGGCATGGTGGCACGCACCTGTAATCCCAGCTATTCAGGAGGCTGAGGCAGGAGAATTGCTTGAACTGGGACCCAGGAGGCAGAGGTTGCAGTGACCCAATATCACACCACTGCATTCCAGCTTGGGCTAAAGAGCAAGACTCTATCAAAAGAAAGAAAAAAGAAAGAAAGAAAGAAAGAAAGAAAGAAAGAAAGAAAGAAAGAAAGAAATGCAAAGTCTTGGGCCAAACTTCCTACATCAGAATCTGAATCTCTCCCTGGAGTTGGACCTGGAAATCTACATTTTAAAAAGCTCTGCAGGTAAACTGTGAGGTTTTAGAAACAGTGGTTTAAACCATGTAAGTGGATGGGATCACCCAGAAGGAATGTAGAGAGAAGTTGGCTAAGCATAGGGAAATCCTGTTAACTCTGCTTTCAGTGAATAACCTGCTGATGACTTCTTAACTCCTCCTTTGTTAGCACCCTAGCCTCCATCATTGTGCCTCTGCTGGACTTTTATAGCATTCTCTTTATACGTTTTCTGTTTCCATAGTAGTCTCAACCCTTTATTCTCATAAGAGAGTAAAAAGCATACTCATGATCACATCGTTCCTTGGTTTTTCAGACCTCTAGTGATCTTTCATCCACTTAGAATAAAATAGAATTCTCTTTTCACCAATATCTGCAAGTTGGCTTATCGTAGTAGCCATCCTCCAAGACAGCCCTCAATGATTCTGGTATTCAACCCTGATCACACTGTATCAGGATTGTTCTGTGTGGCCGATAGAATATGGCAGAAGTGTTGGCATGTTACTTCCAAGGCTGTTAGACATTGTGTTTTTTTCTCCTGATTTCTCTTAGATTATTCATTCTGTGGGAAGCCAAGCACCAAGTCATAAGGACACTCAAGCTCTTTTGGAGTGGTCCATGTGGTGAGGACCAAAAGCTGTCTGAGTGAGCCATCCTGGAAATGAATGTTCCAGCTCCAGATGACTACAGTCCTGGCTAACAGCATGACTGCAACCTCATAGATGTGAGCAGGAACCACCCAGCTATGCCACTCCTGATTGACCCATAGAAACTGTGAGAGATACATACCTATTGTTATGGGATGCTAAATTTTGGGGTAATTTGTCATGTAGCACTAGAATTCTAACATACTCATGATCTGGCCACTTGCAATCCTCCAAACTCATCTCCTAACTTAGCCATTGTTTACTCCATCCCAGATCCTGCCCCTCTTGCTAATCCTTTCATGAGAAACAGATTCTCATTTTAGGGATCATTCTCTTTGCAGGAATATTCTTCCTTTAAATAATCATGCCTGATTCATTTCTTTCTTTATTCCAGTCTCTGCTCATATGTTGATCTCTCAGAGAGGTGTTTTTAAACAATTATATTTAAAATAGTGCCTCTATTTCATCATCCTGCTTTATTTTTATTTCTAGCATGTAAATCTCTTGACATATTTCCCATGTATTATTTTTTATGTTTGTTATCCATGTCTCCACAAGGTCATGAGCTCTATAAGTTCAGGGACATTGTCTTATGCACCACTGTATCCCAGAGACTAGAGCACTGACTAAAAACACAGTAGATTATCAATAAATACCAGTGGAATGAATGAGAAAGGCCAATATATTAGGAAACATTAGTATTTAGAAAAGACAAAGGGAGAGATGCCTACAAAGGTGGCAAAGGAGAAATGGCTTGAGAGGGAAGGACGCGAAGAGGGGAAACAGCTCTGCCTGCTGAGTCAGGTCACCTATATTTCAGCTTTAAACAAATATTTATCTGATTGCAACTACGTTGAAGTTGCTATACATCCTTCTTATGAATTTTAGAATAACAATGTTACTTAACTTTAAACCTTGAAATACTTATAGGTTTACAGGAAGTTGTAAAGAAATGTTCATCCTGTCTCCCCGAGAGTTACCATCTTTCATAACTGTGTATAATATCAACCCAGGAAACTGACATTTTCAATTCACGGAGTCTGCACAGATTTCTCCAGTTATGTATGCACTCATATGTGTGTATGTGTGTATGCATGTGTGCATATTTCTATGTAATTTATTGCATGTGAAGTTTGTTTTTTTTTTTTTTTTTTTTTTTTTTTTTTTTTTTTGAGACAGAGTTTCGCTTTTGTTACCCAGGCTGGAGTGCAATGGTGCGATCTCGGCTCACAGCAACCTCCGCCTCCTGGGTTCAGGCTATTCTCCTGCCTCAGCCTCCTGAGTAGCTGG